TGGTATCTCTTTCCCTGGCCAAAAACAGCTCCAGGTTAAACTACAAATCGATGGAACATGCATAGCCTCTCTATAACTAACGCACATAACCGTCCGACGATAAAGGGGAAAAAGGGAGAAAGAAGATGCTTAAAACAAGGGTGCGGATAGAACGATGAAACTCCAGAAGCCGAATGCAAATCCCTGCTCAACATTTTGAACATGGAAGAATGGATTGAAAACACCGAGAGAAACAGAGAAATGGAGACAGCAATGATAGGTTTAAGAAAGAGAAGGGGAAGGGGGAAAAATCATGATACGAGTTTGCTAACATGGCGAACTAGGATGTGGTTGGAGATTGGCTTACTTTGGAAGCAAAGGATGGAATGGCTGGCTTCGCCTTGCGAGCAGTCGGTGTTGATGACAGCTTAGGTCGAGTCGAAGGGCGGCTGTCATCGCTCTCACTGCTTGCTCGTCGTCTCTTTAGCGTGCCTTCAGCCTTGCTGCTCCTGCTGGTGGTGCTGCAGCCATTATAACACTATATAGTTATACCATGTCCGTTGTTAGATCGATGCATGACATCCCTCTCCCCAGGACCTCCCCTTGGATGCAGGAACTAACCTTATAAGCATGGCGAAACCATGTCGTCCCTCTCTTCTTGCTACTGACCAGCCCAACCCACGAGTCACAGTTCTCACAGAGACCCTCCCAGATGTTTGCGTTGCCCTGGCTTCGTCGAGTCTGCTTCGGGGGACTAAATGCCTGTCCGGTCGTGGCACTGATGCCATGTGTGAAACTCTTGTCATACCAATACCCGGAGTTTTTGAGCACAAGCCAGCGTCCAGGCTTGCAGATGCCGCACCAGCCTTCACGCTTGTTTCCCTGTCCGCGTACCCAGGCGGGAGTGTACATGTCGCCTTCAAAGCGAGGATCCTGCTCCCGGGGAATCATTGCTGGGTCAGACGGGAACAGGTCTTCCGGTGGTGGTTGTGATGGGCTATCCTTCAACGGTTCAAACAAGTCAGGAGGGTCAGCCAGGTTTGAATAGTGATCGATATCATGCTGTTGCCGACACAGCTTCTTCCCAGACGCTTTTCGGGATACAGCTTGCTTGATTTTGCGCTTCGGGGTAGCCATGTTAGACTTGGACCTTTTAACACCGGCTGGGGGTTTTGGCAACGGAGGAGGCAGGGCTTCTACTGCTTCCTTTGGCTCTGCTTTCTCCTCAGATGTATCTACCGCATGGGGAGGAGGGAGGAGGTGGTCTGGTTTCTGCTCTAGAGGGGATGATCCAGCAAATGGTGTGTTACCATGCGGCTGGGGAAGGTACGTTGGATTAGCGGAAGAAGGGCTCTGTACCCATCCACTTCCGCAGCCGTCGTAACCGTAAGTTCTTAATTGCCGGGTTCGAGGAGCTCCCGGAGACATGGCAGCCATGGCGCCCGATTCAACCTTGAGACGGTCTGAATATTGCTGCTGTCTTTGAGGCGACGCTGAAGGTGAGAGTGGCGTGTTTGAGTAGTATAGGGAGCTACAGGGAGTGAAAGCTGAAGTTGAAGAGGGCATCTCTGAGTATGCAGATATGTTATTATACCCTATCGATGCTGAGACAAACCCAGAAGGCGACTGCGTGGTAGGAACTGCTGTGTCCACGGTCAACTGTGCCATGGTCGGTCTAGGAGAGTTCTCCCAGCTGGATAAAGACTCGGCTTCGGTAGATGCTCGGTTGTTAAGCTCAGAGCCTACTGACGGGAGGATGGCATGATTATCTACCATACCCCCCTTATACATGTCTGCTTCTGTTAGCCTGTCATTGGCGAATGAAAAGGAATGGCAATAATACTTGGTATTCCTACCGTTGTGTAGAGAGTTAGCGCCGACATAGCCATCAGAGATTCCAAATCTCTGTGTCAAAGGGGTTTGATCAGACTCATGTGTGTCATATGTGAGCTGTGGATGGTATTTTGGAGGGCTAGACATCAACGGCAATGAGTATATGCTATCATATAGCTGCCTCGCATGGTGAGCCTCTTGCTTCACCGGCACTGGAAGACACGTCCACGGATACTCAGAAGAATGCACCCCTCCATCATGCCCAACTGGTATACCATCATATCTTGCAAGATATCCGCCTACATCTTCTGACAGTCCTTGTGAGGACGAGATATATTCGCTGCTAGAGAGGTCAGCAAAGGTGCTTGTTTTTTTCAGATCTACCTTCTTGAAGGGGCAAGCCAAAAAGACTTATTGAAAAAAAAAAGTATGCATACTGCTGCAAGACACTCCTGTACTCGACTTCACCTGTTGACATATCTCTAGAGAATTGTATGTATAAGCTCTTTAATTTCCCAGAAGAAGAAATGAACTTGATCTCGATGCCCGCAACGAGTCCTTGGTAGAATCAAAATTAAGGCGTTTCGTTGAATTAAAAATCGTTATTAGTTTCCGAGGTCTGCCAGAGACGTTTGTTCGTTCATTCGTAAGCCCCTGGGGGTAAATATAAAGTGAAGAATAGAATGGACACAGCTGCAGATCGATGTAGATAGTCCAGGACGTAGTTAAGGAATGGATAAAAACAATCAAGTTAGAAATTAAATCAAATCTGCAATTAAAAGAGTATTATAGGAGAGCCCAGCTCCTCTTGAAAGTAGTAAAAATAGAAGAAAAAGGGAGGGAAATCAGGGTACATTAACCATAACGGATATGAAGCTATATTCAAACAGCCATGAGAGAATGTATTTCCCCCGGATGGAGAAGAATGAAACAAAAGGGGTAGACGGAAGAAAAGGAGAGGCAGACGTCAGAGAGTTCGAGAGAAACGGAGGGAAAGATAGGCTGTCGTGCAATTATATCAAAACTTATTCTCACCCTCAGTCTCACGCTCCCCCTCCCCCCTCCCTGTGCCGGGCATAAGGTGGAGAGTTGCATCTATAATTAAAAAGAAAAGAAAACCAGACGAAGAAAGAAAAAAAAAAAAAAAGAAAATACTGAAAGAGGGAATCCGTAGGGAGGGGAAGGCAGCGGCAACAATGTCACTTGGTATTACCGCCCAAGTGCCTCCATCCATGGGCTCGGTTGGCTCTGCTCTGAAAGGCCTTGGGCTTGCAGGGAAGGATGCACGGTGCATAGGGGAAAGTCAGATAGCCATTGAGCATATCCTCGAAAGGGCTAGCTAGCTAACTAAAGCCAGCGCTCTCATCCCTTGGTCCCGGTGTTGGGATTCCTTCGATGTTCCTCCCGTCCAAATTTGGTTGTAGCAGGGCTGTAGCCGCCAGCCAACTTGTTACTTGCCGGCATGAACCACGGACGTTGCAAGTTGCCAAGGGGTTAGTTAACTAGTTATGTGCCGTCCTCTGCCTTTTGTCCGTTAGTTAGTTAGTTGCTGCACAGTCAACCAGATTGAGGTCTCAATTGGTACCTGAATATCAACATTTTTTAACCGCCGACCTCGAGGCTCCAAAAATAGCAACACATCGAATTGGGCCTGTTAGCTCGCGCCGTTTCCAGCTCCTCGTATTACGCTGGAAGGTAAAAAGGGCCTCGATTCCAGGGATCCAACAGCCGAGAGTCCCCCGGGGAGCGCTGTGATTGGGAAACACTTCTCGAACAAGCATCGTCGCCCGGGACAGCAGGCTATTAGTTACTTATTTCATGCAGAGAAGAGAGACGGAAGCGCCCACTCCCAGCAACCCCCTTGTTATTCTTGCTATCCGTGTGCGAGCTAACAGGGGAGGAAAACTCTACATGACTCTCTAACCGCCGTGTGTCATCTGGTTCCGTTGCTTCGGCTAGGCTGGGTGTAACTAGTTAGCAGTCTGGCAGGTCGTGAATACCACTGTATGCACCACTTGCTGCAGGCCTTGTCCAGGTCTGGGGCACTTTGCTGCCTCTGATCGAGAACGAAGTCCAATCGCCAGTGATTCTGGGCTGTCGTTGCTCCACTGCGATAGAACGATCGTCTGTTCTCATGCACTGAGTTCTATTCTGCGAACCCACGTCGTCCCTGCGCTGCTGCAGGCCGTGCATTCATTCCCTATTCATGATGCCTGCTCCCCCATTGATACCATAAACCGAGGCTTGCGACTAGTAAACATCTTTGCATTGTCTTTAGAGTTATCATATGGATCTCTGCATGTCATTCTTTTTTTCATCCGGATTAAACGAAAAGCTGATGCCCTGTTGCTATTTTTGGTGGCAGCCAACATTTGGTAGTTATCTCACATCGTAGATGAAGCTAGAGATGTCGATTTCTGGACGATCAAAGTCATCCAACTCTTGGGTAGTTCTATATTTACCTTAGGATAGCGTGGATCGAATTTTCCCCATTCTACTCTTTTTCAATGCCCCCACGATGATGAAACTGCAGCAAATGCAGCGGACGTGCCCCCAATCACGGCGGTTAGCAACGACAGATCAGGACATAGTCTGAGGGCCACCTGTATCAAAGCATCAGAATCGATGCCTCGGGACTACTGGCCGACTACTAGATATGCACTACAATAGGACAAGTAGCAAGTTTCCCGTTGCACTCTGTTACTTTATCTAGGGGTACGGCGGTATGGGCTTGACAACGGAGACTCAAGACAGATATGCTCTCAAAAAAGTGTGAAAGGAACATATTATTATTATTGTATTTTTTCATCTTTACTAGCAAGGATTTGGGTTGGGGAATCTGAAAGCTTGGACCTGTGGATGAATCCGTATCAAAGGCTTCGTAGGAATGTTGAAATCTCAAAGCAGTCTGACAAGCATGATTTGTTAAGTCATACTGTCATCTGTTATCCTGAGGAGAGTCCTCGTGTTGAACTTAGAACCCTCAAAATGTATCATGAAAACTAATCACACATTTGAACAAAAGAAAGCAAATGATGTCCGTGTAGCCCTGCTGGAGACACTACACGGAGTAGGGGTAGGGAAAATAAGGGACAAGGTGGGATCTAGAGGAGAAGAGCAAGACAGATTGATTGGCAAGCCCTTCTGATAATGTGGTCAAGATCGATGTTTCCTCAGTTACCCATGTGCTAAAGCTCATACTTGACTTCGGAGCCGTTCATAGTAGTTACCACTGCTGGCTTGGAATCAAGAACGGTGTTCGTTGGATCTGCATTATCTCCAGGCAGCTCTTCTTCTCTGGCAATGTCACCAAAGAGTGATGTACTATTCAAAAATGAAAGTAGCTCCTCCTTGAGGGGTGTCTCCATCATTTCGCTTGAGCTTTTCACCCCTGTCAAGTAATCATCGCCCATATCATCGAAAATCCTCTCAACGTCGAGGCTGATTAAGTCAACAAGGGCGTTGACTAACTCTTCGAGTTCCATTTTGATAATATCGACAGTTCCCAGGAACATGTCATTCTTGGACTGAGATACACAGTTAGCCATTATTGCCTTTATTTTCGGGAATGAACCAGCTCCTAATAATAATAATAATAATAATAATAATTTAGCTTTATTTTCAATACATATTTTAAGCGAAGATTGGAAATCATACCCTTGATTGTGGAAACTTCACTGTAGGCAGGTCTCAAAGCCGTTTTTATGCTTGGGATAAAAATACGGTTTAGTTCCTTTTGCTTGGAGTCCATTTTATCAGTGACAAAATGGATAATTTGCTTGATCCTTTCCTTATATCTTAAACATTGATCATTTAAGATTTTGGATCTTGAGTCGGTCTCATTAAGCGTTCGGACATTTTTCATCACGTCTCTGTGAAATTCACCTATATCTCTCCGTAGAGAATCTGAGGTTTTGTTGAACAGATGAGGGATCTGCCTGGTGAAAGTCCTGGGTAATAATTAGCATGGCCACCGGCAACATTGAGGTTGAAAATATTAAGATTACATTTCCCAGGCTAGCCCAATAATTGCCATTAATGGGTCGGCTCTATAAACATGAGTCTCATTCTTCGAACGTCAAAGCTGTTTGCAGGACATACAACTCTTTATTCCAGTTCTGTGGTGGAAATGTTAGCTCCCTATGAACCAGGTATAATTACTTGGTTTACTTACGTAGTGATTCCCCTTTCCATCACGAAATTCGCCAAATCTCCGGCAGATGGCTTTGTAAGTGGGGTATGAAATTCCTCCATGCTTCTTGACTCGGTTCCACCGAGATAGCGTCCTTTCAGCCGCATTCTTAGCTGCAATGGCGGCATTATCTACACATATTAACTTCAAACTTCTCGATGCAGTTTGGAAATGGGACATACCAAGACTAGCATATAGATGCTGCCTTATTTCCAACAAAGCGTTTGACAGGTTGAGGATCGTGGTGTTTAAAACCTGACAAAGGTCAGTGAATCAATTTAAAATGAAAAAAAAAAAAAAAAAAAAAAAAAAAAATTAATTATAACACTCACCTCCTTGAGGTTGTTGAACTCAGCCTGAAGTAATTCCTGGTCATCTTGTTTTGACCGGAGTGACAGTTTATCTTGCCCTGATGCCTGAAGCTGTAAACTATTGACTAATTGGCCAAGGTTGTTCAAGAAGCTGGCATGCTTTGCCATACGGGCCGTAACGCCCAGGTTCAAACAGTATCTTTGGAGCTGGGGTATCCCAGTATCCTCGGGGACTATGAACCCCTTCATTACTTTGTGCTCCTTTAACCTACCTTCCAATATCTGAAATGCCTTAGATGACACGCAAAAAACATCTAATTTTTCCTTGGCCATGGTGCCTTCTTCATCTTGGCTGGTGTTTCTGGGATGAAGAAGTCCAGCCACGAAATCCTCTCTTATTCGTGTTTCAGAGTATTTGTTTCTTTTTTCTATGCAGCAACGCTCGAATTCGCGTTGCTTAAGTTTTATCTCCTTTCTAACAGATAAAACCTCAGTTTCGAGAGACTGGAGTTGGGCCTTAACTGTGGCTTGTTTTTCTGTTAAACTCTTTTTGGAAACCATGAACTCGCGCTTTCGGGGGCTGGGTGATGGCGATGGAGATATGTTCATGGCACCATGGTTAGAAGGGCTCTGTATAGGGTTGATCTCGGGGGCGACTTTGGTATCGTCCTGTATCGCAAAGTCGATCAGGTTCTCTAACTTCAACCTTATGCGCTTGTCCTTTTGTTTAAGGCTCTGTATTTTCAAGCCCATGGCTTTGGCCTGCTGCTTTTTTTCTTCACAAAAATTATCCAACGCTTCTCTCGCATGTTTGAGTCCGGGGTCATCTGCTGCCTCCGACAAGTTGATATCATCGGTCTTGCTGCAGATAAAAGCCAGTTGGCCCATCCCGCCATCGAGCTGCAGCTGCCGCTTGAAACCGTCCCCTAGAAGTGTCCTCGCCGAATGATCATCGACAGCTCGAGTGATAGGCGCGACTACCCACAGGCTAGAGCAATTTTTTATGTATTTTTGAGCCAAAGTTCCCCTGGCCGTGTTGACGTCCAGCAACCCCGGGAGGTCCACAAGTACCACCCCAGTGGATAAAACGGGTGCTTTGACATGTAGGCGCACCAGCTCAACAAGTGGCCACAATTGCATGGACTTATTCTGTGATATCGTATCATTGGTATCTATGATATCCTGGTCTGAAACTAGACGACGTGGTTCACTATCCACATATTTTTTAAGCTCATTGTAGAAGTCGGTTGCATTGTTTCCAGACACGTACTTAGTAGAACCAAGTACTGTAGCAACGTTAGGGACTTCCATGATTTTTTCAATTTGGGTATTCCTGGGGTCAAGCTGGTATACAGCTCTGAATTTGGCACATGCTATGCCAAATTCAGAGTCATAAGTGGAAGGAAGTTCATCAAGACCATCCTGCATGTCTTCGAAGAGAAGGCGCATTTCCTCCTCCCACGCTGACCGAGATACAAACTGAATCTCAGCCTCATAGTTCCATGGCCCGTGACAATATGAGATTTCTGTGATCGCTGCAGTGCACGCCCTCATTCCACTGGTAGGAACTAAACGTTTCTCTCCTAACAGTGCATTTATTAAAGAAGATTTTCCAGCACCAGTGGCACCAACAACGCCTATTGTGATTGTGGGATGGCTCTTGCCTTGATCCATAGTCTCCAAGATTTGTTTACGTAGGGCTTCAGTGGCTCCAGTGGAAGATGGATGTTTCTTCAATATGGTCTCCAGCTTCGTGAGGATATGGAAGCCCTCCTTCGACTTTCCCTCCAGCTCCTCCAGCTCTTCGTTGACAATAGTCACGCTTGGTTTTGCTTCTTGTGAGATTTGACCGTTGCTTGGGGTTTCCTCATCACTTGAGAAGCCAGCATCGCTAGAAGACGTGTCTAGCATGTTGATATCATTGTAGTCTTCTTTGTCGCCCGGATGTACAGGTATACGGACCTCAAAATCTGAGGTTTCCATGTTTAATTAATAGGTGCCAACTGTAAGAGGTATGTAGGTGACCAAGAGAGGAATTGATGGATAATGCTTGACAGTAGAGAGAAGTAAAGTCGCAATATGTGAAAAAAAAATTTTTCTAAGGTCATAAGAAGAATGTGAAGGAAGAAAATGAGCTCATAAGGTGAAAATGTACGCAGCGTATCTCTGGCGTAGGAAGTAATAATACAATTCAGAGGGCGTTGTTTGTTTTGATAGAGACTGTTCAAAAACACACGTCGAGGCTCCTTTGAAGTAAACAAAGATGCACGTGACTAGTCAACTAAAACCTAAGCTCGGCCTTATCTCCGAGCTCCTTGGAGCCTCTTTATCTCGACATCGAACGCAGCTGGTATAAGCAATAGAGCAATCTTCCCTTTTAACTGACGTATTTCTGTCCGTCCATGAGTTGAACAGATAGCAATGGGTTGATTAAAAGCGTCTAAATGGCCGGCACCTGTATCAATGATACAACATAGATTTACAATAACCTCCAATATTAACATAGCCGGCTAAACGGAGCCCAAGGTGAACGCAACCGAAAAACCTAATAAGAGTCTCTATTGAGCAGGATGAATAGATACTTCTTGTGGTCGTGGATCTGAAATACATGGGGGACATGCATTTCAGATTACTAGCTAATTGCATAGTTATCTTAGCATTGAGCGACTTGTGTTCCTCTGTACGCCCCGGGATCGCCAGTCAAGCGAGATGCTTATAACTAAAAGACAGAACCCTGATTTCATAGCGATACCTTGGGAGTGACAACTTACCCGGATCTGCAATTGTGGGGAGAGAACGGGGATAGCCGCGGTTGGATGGCTGGTAGCCACGATGGAGCCCCAGTCGTCTAATAAAAGCGGCTTCCACACCTGGGCCACTCATTCCTGACGACCAACCTATCTCACCATTTAGCCCCGGTGCTTGTTACACTGCATCGCAGAAGCTTCCGGTGCGGTAGTCTACCTAGTCGAGAATACCATACATACTATCTGCTATCCTTCTCGTCTTCCAAGGTTTGAATCAAATGATACCAAGTTGCTTACCCAAGAGAACAATGGCGAAGAAATATCTTGGAGGGTCTGGTGATAAACTCACTATATGGATATCTATAGCTGCATCTACAGTCCTCATATTCTACGGTTATGACCAGGTCTGTTTAAAGCTCTGGTTGATTCTATTCGACCCGTACTAACTTGGAGATAGGGGGTGTTCGGCAACGTCCTTATTGGGGAGGACTTCCTACAAACAATGGGTTATCCATCCACAAACCTACAAGGGACCATGACATCTGTTTACAATATTGGATGTTTCGTTGGTGCCATGTCAACTGTATGGACCGGAGACTATTTTGGCAGACCCCGGCAGATAATAGTTGGCAGCACTATCATTGCTATCGGTGGTATCATCCAAGCTTCTGCCTATGGTGTGCCTCAGATGATGGTTGGAAGAGTGGTGGCCGGTCTAGGTACTGGAATGAACACCTCGACGGCTGGGGTATGGCAGTCTGAGACTAGTAAAATGAACAGCAGGGGGAAGCTTGTTATTATTCAAATGGTGAGATGAATATCCCGGGTGCTTCCCCGTAACTATCCATCCACTAACTAGCTGACTCGGCTTAGGCAAACTGTATAATGGGATTTTCTGCTTCTAACTGGTTAACGCTTGGTTTCTCTTTTGCTAAAGGGAGCGTTGCATGGAGATTTCCCTTAGCATTTCAGGTGTTTTTTACTCTTTGCATATACGCCATGTGCCCTTTTCTACCAGACTCTCCCCGTCTACTCATCCGCAAGGGGCAGTACGGCGAGGCACTAGAGGTGCTAGCTGCACTGGAAGGTAACGGAGCAACGTCAACTTCTCATTCTGTCAAAACCCAATTCAACGTCATCAAAGATGTGCTAGATCGGGAGAATCTGAACTCTTATACATGGTTTAAACTGCTTATGGGAAAAGGCGAGTCTTCCAGAGTTCCCTCGGGATATACCTAGCTAAGAAAAATCATATAATAGGGCCACCCGGTGTTCTTAGGCGGATGATTCTAGGGGCATGGATGCAGGCAATGAATCAAATATCTGGAATCAATGTTACCTCGTAAGTATCACACAGGCCCGTTTTAGTATATACCAAGGTTTAACCTTATTAGATACTATATGTCCTATGTCTTCATACATGCCCTCAATCTCTCGCCGCTTCTTTCTCGCATACTCGCAGCAGCTGGGAGCGTTGACTATCTGGTTTTTTCCTGCCTCGCTTACTTCGTGATCGAGCGTTATGGGCGCCGGAAAGTGATGATGTCGTCCTCCCTGGCCTGCTCAATATGTTTCATAGCTATCACTATCTCCCTGTCCTTATCAGAAAACGGGCATGGAGATAAGTATAAACTTGGAATAGTGGCTGTGTCGTTCTTCTTTGCTTTCTTTGCAAGCTTCGGTATGGGAGTACTTGGTGTCCCATGGCTATACCCAACGGAGATAAATGCCCTGGAAATGAGGACTAAAGGGGCGTCTCTGGCTATGGCTACAAACTGGATTATGGTAAAGGCGCAATTTCTCATCTCCAGTGGTTTATGTTCATCCTAACTAACGAAAATTTCACAGAATTATATGGTAGTACAGATCACCCTCCCTGGGATTGAAAATCTAGGTTGGAGATTCTGGATTATATGGGCAGTGATATGCTTTTCATTCATCCCGATCACGTACCTTTTTTATCCAGAGACAGCAAATCGAACGCTGGAAGATATTGATCGGTATTTCGAGGCGAATAGGGGTATAATTGTTGCATTTAATAAAAGTAAGGCTTTCCCTGTTTTAATCAAATACCTCTATGCTAATTCTATTCCCTTAGCTGCCACCCAACTCAGTCGCCCCGATGAATACATTCGTATGGATGAAGAGATCTCACAGAGAGACACAGTAGAGAAATCAAGTGCATCTACTAGCATGCGAAACCGACAATCCGAAGAAAAGATTAGTCAAGCATAGAAAAAAACATATATCCGTGCTTTGCAAACACTATTTGCATCAACCCCTTTTGTTTACTCCAAACTACACTTAGATATGCCTATCCTTTATCTTTCCCATCCCTTCGAGGGTATATCATCTTCAGGCTTCTCTATATTATACCGCTATATGGCAGTTTGTTTGTTACTCTTCTGTTGTTTGTTTCTTTGTGCTTTAAGAATAATGACAGCTATCGGCGACCCACGGGAAGTCAGTGGATAAAGTATTGCTATTTTATACACTGTATAATTTGGCAGGAAGAGAATGCTATTGATCCTCAAAGTCACTAACTAATCAATCAATTTAAAGTAAGAAAAATAACTAGTTACTAATAATCAACACAAACGAGGAGCTTGAACAAGCAGTGAATCATAGAAAACGACTACTTTGTAGACTTTATTTCATCCTCCCTAACCTCTGACATCGAACTCCACGGGTCCTCGGGACTCCAAGCCTACACTCATGTTTCCCTCGCTTCCCCACCAGCTCTTCTTGTCGTCACGTCCAACCGTAGGCTTCTTAGTAGCAAGAAAACCGTGTCGAGATCGACGAACAACTTCCAGACCTTCACCTCGCAGAACGACATTTCCACGCCGGAAATCCGTAGCAACGACATGGCCCGCCCAAGAATGAGGCTAAGAAATGGCCATGTTGGCCGAATTACGGCTGATATGGTAGGCGTTCACTCTGAGCTCCGGATGGTTACAGGGCCTAACTTCAGCATGGCTGGGTTTCTTGTTGAGAGCTTCCAGGATACGGTTCCATTTTTCCTGTCTGCTGGAGCTATTGGAGCGAGTATCTATGCGTATCTTGGGATGGGGAGTATTATCTTGAGCCTCCGGTGTGTGCTCAGATTTCTCAGGAGCGATGATGAAGGATGGCTCTGTAACTTTCAGCGATACATTACCAGAGCGAGTTTGCGTGGTTATAGAGATGTCGTCACAGCGCTTGCATCTCCTGTTATGAGGGAAAGTGGTATTTTCAAAGACGAGGGGAGTTAGGTGAGTGTTGATGTTACCACTTCGAGTTGTGACTGAAGCATGGGTAGAAAATCCAAGGACGGCGAACACGTTTCCACTCCTGGTTTCGATATCAATCTCATATGGGCGAGGGGGTAAAGAGGAGGAATTCGATTGCCATGAATGGTGATTCATAGCCGGGTCTTTGAAGAAGACTTCTTTGAAGAGAGAAGGCTGAGGCTTTTCCATGTCATATGTGGATAGAGCATCGCTGATAACTGTGGCATCGTCGGGCATCTTGAACCTCACGAAGACATTGCCAGTTCTCGACCTTATGGATATCCTTGCAGGGCGAGTTGGATCGTCTTGGTGGGCTGGCTGCGGCACGATGGTAACATAAATGGATCCAGTTCTAGTCCTGAGGTCCAGTAAGTCGTATAGAGGGTAATCTCCATAGATCCAGGATTCCCTTTCTCTAACAACTATCTCTCGAGAAGACTTTGAGTGGCAGCCAAAGCCATAGTTATGATATCCAACCGAGTGGTGATTATGGTGATGATGTCTCTGAGAGCAGCTCAAACGTTAGCCATAAACCATGTAATAACTAATGAGCTATCAAAGAACTAGTTCAAAGGGAGTAAGCCTGCAGATTTAACATCTTACCCTGATGAAGCGGACTGTGGCCCAGCGGACAAGCCAAAGACACAGCCAGACAATAAGGACTGCCTTCAAGGTGATGAATATCTTCACACAGCAAGACCGCTCACGATGTCCGCCGTCCTCGCGGCGATGACATCGGCGTCTAGCCCTCCACCAGCGACGGAATCGGCCTGGTCCTTGACGGGTGCTGGCAGACTCCCCAGGCGAATTTTCCTCCTTGACGGCGTAGTCATCCTTGATGTCTACATTGAGATCCCCCCTGAGGCATCCTGGAGAGCGGACGTGGTCATGGTAGCCTGGCGGCAGAGAGCTCGCGAGAAGCCGGTCGTTCTCACGGGCGTCCTCGATGGCTGCCTCTGTGTGGAGGTCTGGCTGGGACTCGCCACTGTTTGATGCAGTGCTCGGAGGAGTGTATATCTTCTCGTCGCCGATGACGGTATCTGAGTCGTCGGAGTACTGGGGCAGCAAGGGAGCCTGCTGCTCCTCGAGCTCTTCTTCCTTGGGATTACCCATGGCTAGCTTGGTGGTTCAATATTCGCTCTAGATTAATTAAGACGACCAGAACCAGGCTTCGATGGGAGTGGCTGTCTCTTGGGTATTGTCTAATATATTCAAAATAATATAAGTCTCGGATGGCCAGGCAAGGGCGCTCCTTCACGCAATCAAAGATACGGCCGCAAAGGACGCTGACGACGATGGCCAGGCAGCCGCATTTCCCCCCAGCCTGGTCTGGTCTGGCCTGCACCGCCCAGGCACGGAAGATTAACCAACCGGACCTGCGGTGAAACGCTGACTGGCTGCTGCTTTGATTTGCTTGTCGCTGCTTGCTTATTTAACGAGAGTCGCTGTTACGCAAGTCGCCCTGGGATGGTGGGAAGGGCGCATTCAGGGAGGATACGAACTAGATGTCGATGTAGAGAAGGATTCATTACAGCATTGCCGATGGGGATGATTAAAATAGATTTAGCCGGACTCTAGGGGCAAAAACGTTCGAGTCTTATAGCCAGGATAACAGAGGCCCCTTTAGATGTAACTCCATGCTTGCTCCCGCAAGTCAGAGCAGAACGTTCTAGGAGAAGTAGTCAAGGCACTTTATCAAGATATTAGAAGCAAGTAAAGGAGGAGGCTCAAGACATAGGAGAGTGCAGTATCATTAAAAACTCATAACGCCATCGCTAAAATGAAGCAGATGAAATGCTCTGATCATAGCTATCATGATACCTCCAGGGCGAATAAATAGGTAATAAGAGGGAAACAGACAAATATTCAAACAGGATGACAAAATGTTTTCCTGGATAAAGGGGTATAGAAAAGTAAAGTAGAAGAAAAAGTATGGTGGGAGAAGCAGATTGAATGGATCATCCCAGATATACCGGACAAACCACTGATATCAATAGCCTAGGTTGCCCAGGATGGAGGCAGCCTCGTTGGCCGGTAGACCGCATACGCCCAGAGCACGCACTTGACTACCTTTTCTCAGACACTTAAGACCAAGAGCAACCTTCCAGGCTTCGCTTTCGTCAAGGACAAAGATGAACCGTTTGCCGTCTTGATCTCTGATGCTGGTTCGGATAATGTGCAGGCCGCGAGCTTCCGCTGTCTGTAGAATAGCTTGGTCAATACCACTGCCAGCACTATGATAAGAACTACTCGAGTCTGCAGCACTGCTCACCCCGAAACGGCATTGGTCTTTACAGGTATGAAGCATTCCTGAAACGAAAGCATCTGAATCCTCGCTGCTAGGCTGCTTGGACGACGAGTGCAAATTGCCAAACCGGAAGGGATTGAGCTTTCCATTGCCTGAGCGAGTAGGATGACTGCCATTGGCGGAGTGCAAAGGGCACCATACCTCTATTAGCTTCATAGTCCATGCCTTGATATCCCATTCTCTCTGCGCTACTCCACGGACATCATCGTCAACGAACATGCCTTCCGTTGTCATTCGCAGAATGAGTCCATCCGTAACTGAGCCTACTCCAGATACCAATTGGGCAATAGGAGTTTTCATGAATGCATTATTAAAGGTGTATACGCCGTGGATGACAATCTTGTTAGGATCCTTGGTGGAATATGGTCCACGTTGAGATGGAGGAGGTGAGGTGTTTGCAGTAGATTGAGATGGAGCATAAGTTGACTCTGAAATAACCGAGGCTGCCTGGCTAGGCCGACTGATACTTGATCTTGGTCGGTCATAAGGGCGAAATGAATAGCCATCGTCTTCTGCATCCGTGGTTGCTGTCTTGACGGAAGGGAAAGGAGGCTTGCTCTGTGTAGTCTTTGGTGCTGGTCGCTTCTCTGGCGATGGAGACCTCTTTTCTGGCGAAGGCGTCTGGGACTTTGGCTTGACAGGAGAGACTTTGGTAGCTGACGATAGTTTTGTAGTTGATGAAACTGATGGAGCGACTGAGGGGGCTGCGGACGCTGCAGCGGCAGCTCGTCTGGCCGCAGCAGCTTCTTTTGCGGCCGCATACCGCGCTGCAGCTTCCTGTCTGGCCTTTTCCTTCGCAGCCTTCTCTGCAGCCTCCTTTTCGGCTGCTTCCTGGGCTGCCTTTGCTTCTCTCTCGGCCGCTTCTTTGGCAGCCTTTTCTTTGGCTCTCTTCTCCTTCCACAGACGGTATTCACGTTCCCGCTTCTCCTTATCACGCTTTTCTTGCTCCTCACGAGCTTTCTTCTCTTCTTCTTCCTTCTTCTTGCGTTCTGCTTCTGCCCTTTTACGCTTAATTTCTTCCATCTTTCTCTTCAACTCCTCTCTCCTCCTCGTTTCTTCACGAGCTTTCTCCCACTCGCCCATCGTTGGGTCTACCGTAGGTGTTTCTTTCGGAGTTTCTGGCTTTGGAGGCTCGGGCTGAGGAGTTGGTTGAGGAGCAGGCTCTGCAGGTTTTGGAGGATCTGGCTTAACCTCAGGCTGTTTCGGAGGTTCTGGTTTTGGAGCTGCTGGCTTTGGAGGCTCGGGTTTAGGTTCTTCTGGCTTAGGTTCTTCTGGTTTGGGGATTTCCCTCTTTGGCGGTTCAGGTGCTGGAGCCTCAGGTTGTGGAGGAGCTGGCTTCGGCTCTTCTGGTGCTGGTTCCTCTTTCTTTGGAACCTCTGGTTTTGGAGGCTCCGGTTTTTGTTCAGGTTTTGGCTCAGGTTCTTTGGGCATAAATTGTGGCTTGGGCGTCTCGGACCTACGGGGTTCATGATTTGGTGGTGGAGGCGGTGGAGATGCTGGCCGCGGTGCTTCACGCCTTGGTGGAGGCGGAGGTCCCGGGGATTCGGAACGTCGAGTGTCACGTCTATGAGGCTCTGGAGAGGGCGGAGAATTATAGCTTCCATAGCTCTGGCGGCTTCCAGGGTAGCTATTCCTATTATACTGATGCCCTCCTGGATATTGGGGTCCAGCACCAGGATATGGCCCTCTAGCCCCCGGGTATGGTCCTCCCCCTCCGGGAAATCCAGCCCCTGGATTAGGGGGAGGGGGGAACCCAGCACCAGCATAATGTCCGCCGTAATTTTGATAAGAGCCGCCGCCTGCTCCAGGCCCCGGGCCCGCTCCGCCAGGTGGCGGAGGGCCGTGTCCGCCCGGGGGAGGACCACCTGGAGGAGGTCCAGGAGGAGGCCCACGAGAAGTACTTCCATTGCTGGAAGCGGTAGGTTTTGAGCGAGAACGTTGACGGAAAACTCCCTCGGCTTGGGCCTTGCCAATGGCCCAGCTGACGAGGCCAATTCCAAAGGCGAGCAAGAATACACCCATTCCGCCGCGGGCCACAACAGTTGCACACCAGGTTTTCAGGGTGGGTAATGCATTGAAATAAAAGTAGACGCCCATCAATGTCACAGCGACACCTGCTAGGAAGCTGTTTGTATGGCATTGGAGTGAGGGGAGGTATAAAAAGCCCCCTCCAGCAGAATGAGGCGGGATAATGAAGATATCATAAGGGCCTTCAGGCAAATCTGTAGATTTGCGGTACCTGCTGCCATCTCCAGGTCCGGTGTCACTCCGCGGGTTTGCTCCATGAGGAGGAGGCGGTGGTGGTGGAGGGCCGTCCATTATGCAAGGTCGCTGTCTCCAACGCTACAGAGGCACAGCAAAAAATCAAGCCACTGCTTTGCTATGACCTTTCAGTCTGATAAGGAGCAGGTGCTGTACAATTTTCCCTGCCCTGGGCTTTTCTTCTGCTCGTCTTTTTTCCTTTCTTTTTTTTATATCTTGTTGTCGTATAGATGCTTATAGCAAAATGTGCTGTATATCTCTGCTCATATAAATAGAAAATTCATGCATTGTGGTCCCAAAGTACCACACAATGCAGTATGCGGCCTTTTGTGTGTATGACACCAGTTTGGACTGTACTTCCCCTCCTATGAAGCTGTCGAGTATTTCCTTTAAATTGAAGGGAGCGACTCGAGGAGGTACTTTGGTGGGCGTTTTCGATAAGGACGAGGGTGCAACAACGTCGTGCGCCGTGGTGCGTTCTTTGTGTATCAGTATCGAAGAGCGTTTCGATTGCGAGAAAAGTGCTTCGAGTCTAAAAATTAACAATGAGTAAAACACGGGATCGCAAATTGGCCATAAGAGCAAGAAAATCCAGCGACTTTGCTGGCAATTCCCACGAGAAACGAAGCAGAGTGGCATTTCAGTCTCTGGCTTACCGCTGCGTTTTGATGTCAAATACCTTGATAGGCTGAACACACGTTGCGCACAGATACACTTCGTACAAAGAGAATAAGATAGATCGGTTTGGGGAGAACGAAATGATAAGCAAAGGGGTGAAAGGAATCGAGTCCTGACGCCGAAATCTGAGACAGGCTTGGGGCTCTGGCTCTCTGGGGGAGGAGTGGGAGTCGAAGGGGAATATCAAATTATTTTTAACATGTCAATGTCCGCCTTTATGGCGTGGAGGGAAAAACGTTTGTATTCTTTTCTCTTCTTTTTTTCTTTTTCTTTCTCACCCTTCTTCTTGTCTCTTCGTCTTTTTAAAATGTGTTTTTCTCTTCTCTTCCCCACCCCTTTTCATCCAAGCAGTGGCCGCAGTCCAATCGGATAGCACGAAAGATCCCTGTTTGCCGGCCCAGTCTCCATTCTCAGCGCTGCTTGTTGACCTATCGAAGCCAGCCTTGACACCGGCCCGCGATGAGTGGAGGGATTGGGACACGTTGTAACGAATAACTGGAGGTGAAGGCACAGCGGGCAAGGAAATAGTACGAACTATCATACAGATCTGGTGGGAGGCCACTGTTGACACTGATCATTTACTACCGTTCGGGGGAGCAGCAGTGTAGACGTACTCCATACACACACGCACACACACAAATATCCGCTTCTTCTGCTGCTCCTGGCCTGGCTGCCTGTTTGCTGCGTTTCCCTTCTGTTGTTTGATGCCAACAGTGCAGATGCTGTCGTGTTTGTTGATGTGATGCGAGTCGCATGAAGACAAAATAAAGACAAAATAAAAATTTAAGGGAAAGGGAAGGACCCACTTTTTAGACGTTTTCCTCTGTTTGTTTTGATTTTTCCTATTATGGCTGTCCGGAAGCGCCTGTTTTTATTGGTCAGTTTCCATTTAAAGTTGATTAGTCACTAGCTCCCGGAAAAGTGTTATTCCAAAGTCAGGTGACTCAGTTGATTAGATAATCAGATTGAAGCGGCCAGATGCACGGAAACACGCAGAGAAATGAAGGCAAAGACGACATAAACAGCGGTTGGAGGAAACTCGTTAGCTTTTGGTCACCTTGCTCAGAAGGGGACTATCTGTCTGGCCGGCTGCCTGGAGTCATGCAGGTGTACTTCGTGACCTTCTCAGCCTCCAAATCGACTATTTAACCGCTAAAAAAACGAACTCGTCGGGCGGGCACGAATGGATTACATAAGATTTCATGCGGAATTAATATGATCCTGCGCCGAAACGCACTCTGATTGGCCAGATCTTGTCCATCTGAGCTTGCCCCGAGATCAACTTTTGTACCTGAAGTTGCTGCATGACGATGATGAAGCTGACACTGTCGACGTTGGGTATGAGGATGCAGGGCATGATGAGGCTGTAAACCGCTCTGGGTCTACAGAGTATTGCCGGCTCCTCCTTATATAGCCGCTGTTGCCTGCGCCTCGTTAGATGTCGAACTCCCTCCCGCCCGAAGCTATCTCCTTGTCCCTCTTATCTATCACCGCTCAACAAGAACGAACGTCGATCCCCTGAAGGAGCAACCTACACAAGAACACCAAAGAAAAGAAACCCCTTTTAACTATACAAGCATATACACCGCCCAAAGAACATCTGTCGTCCTCTCTGGCCCTCTCTCTCAACATAGAGCAATACGCAATAACAACCTACAATTCGATCTTTGGGGCTTCACATGAATGCCAATCCGATGGCGGCCGCCCCTGTGCCGGCTGGCACCTTTATGGCTGGCACCAAGGTGCAGGTTGGAAGCCATCGAGTTGTGGTAGAGAAATACCTTTCCGAAGGAGGATTCGCCCATGTCTACGTCGTTCGACTCCCAAAGCCTGTTGATGGCGTCGAAACTGCTGTCTTGAAGCGGGTCGCCGTTCCGGACAAGGCATCCCTCGCCAACATGAGAACGGAGGTGGAAACGATGAAGAGGCTGAAGGGACACAAACATATCGTTACATATATTGATTCTCATGCGTCACAACTCAAAGGCGGCGGATATGAGGTCTTCCTGCTCATGGAGCATTGCGCTGGTGGCGGCCTGATAGACTTCATGAATACCAGGCTACAGAATCGATTGACTGAACCAGAGATCTTGAAGATATTTGGCGACGTCACCGAAGGTGTGGCCTGTATGCATTATCTCAAGCCACCACTCCTGCATAGGGACCTCAAGGTTGAAAACATCCTGATCTCCGGGAACGGCCCTTCACGCTGCTACAAGCTGTGTGATTTTGGTTCTGCAGCTCCTCCTAGACCTGCAGCTACTTCCGCCGCCGAAGGTAGACTGATCGAAGATGATGTCCAGAGGCACACAACCCTACAGTATCGAAGTCCGGAAATGATAGATGTCTATAGAAAACAGCCGATCGATGAGAAAAGCGATATCTGGGCCCTTGGCGTTCTGTTGTACAAGCTATGCTACTATACCACCCCTTTTGATGAAGGCGGCCAGATGGCTATTTTGAACGCAAAGTTCAAGTATCCCGCCTACCCAACCTTTTCAGATAGACTGAAACTTTTGATTGGTATGTTTGCTCTGTCACTTTTGATGTCAAGGTACCTTTTCAAGCTAACATTAAATTCTTTCGATTCAGCCACTATGCTTAAAGAACACCCCAAAGACAGGCCCAATATTTATCAGGTTTTACGTGAAACATGTCATATGCGAGGGAAAGAAGTGCCAATTCGAGACGTGCGTACTTATACAATATATATCTAATATCCGCGCGTCTTAAAAACTAACTATTTTCCCATGTAGATTTATTCCGACCATTCACATTCCGAAGCTAGACGAAGCCAGCAGCTACCGACTTCCACTCCAGTGGAACCACCAAAAGTTGGTGCCACCTTTACGCCGCCCATTCAGGAAACAAAAATTATTCCAGACATTGCGCCGATGCGGAGAGGAAGGCCGGTTAAGCCTACCGACCAAAAGGCTGCATCCAAGCCCAGTCCTTCTCCTCTTAGGGTTTCCGGTGACCCGTTTGCGGCACTTGATGGAACTAAACGGAACGTCAGTACGGATGAACTCTCTTCACGATTCCCAACTCTAGATCAATTCTCCCTCCTTCATGAAAAGGGTGGCACTTTCAACTTTGAATCAACCAATACCGAATCGACTGCCAACCCTGATGATTTATCGAAAAGAGTCACGAATGCTCTTGCCGATGAAGCGTTCTCGAAGCCCGCAGTATCTCCACAGCCAAGTCCTACTCTTGGAATGCACCATACTACTACCCGGATAGACCCATTAGCATCAGATAAAAAGCTGGTATCGTCACCATATCTAAGGGCGGAACCCTCTCGCCAACAAGTCCCTATACAGCAGCCAACACCACAGAAACCAACGATGGTATCCACTGGCACGATGACATCCCCCTCACCAGTCAACCAGCGGTCAGACAGTCCCTCCTTATCCCAAAGACCGTTGCATAGATTCCCGAGCCAATCACACAAGAAACAAGCGTCCGGAAGTTCTCGTGAGAGTAGCGGTCATGATCATCCCCGTGTGCACAGCGGCAGCTTATCGACTCGACCAAGTTTTGCCAGATTTGACTCCAAACCTATTCAAGCGGACGACCTTCCTAGATCGCCGGCATCTTCACGGCCATCTTTGGAAGGTACACGGCCAACGGCTTCTGATATTGCAGACCCGCTAACCCGTTCGAAATCCGCAAACTCGAAATCTAGGCCTACTGCTGCATATGTCGCATCGAGATTAGAATATCTTAGGGATAGAGGTCGCGAACGCTCGTCAGACGAGGACGAAACGTTGCTACGCCCATCCGTTGGCGAACATGATCTCGAATACAGCCAGCCATCCAACATGTCGGACGTTGATTTCCTTAAAGCTAAGGAAGAGGAAGAGTTGAGCCGGAAGCGCGAGAAGCGCCTAAGTGGTGGATCCAAGCATGCCAAACGCGGGAGTTTATCCTCACTTTCTTTATCAGGCACCAAGACCCTCCTCGCAGGCCGCTTCGGAGATGCTTTCCGTCGCTTTGAAAACAACGCTCCTCATGATAGGAATCAAACCCCATCTCCTGAAAATGACACACAGCACCTCACTCCCATCACGGGATCCGAGGTAACGGAGCTGAGCGACGATGGCCGTGGATATGACAATGTTGACACAGACGATATATCACCTGAAATGAAACGAGAAATGGAAAGACGTCGATTATCCATGGAGGAAAGAAGGGTTGCTGAGGCTGCTGCCCAGTATCGCTCACAGTTGAATGAGCGAGAAGGAGGCCCCTCGCGCGCTGTGGGACTAGGTATAGGAAGTGGCGGTAGAGCTGCTGCCATTGAAAACAAGGTTCAGTCTTTATTGAAGGAGACGGAAAAGGCACCACCTGTCAAGACAGCATCAGGATATGGACGATACACAGACGCAGTACCTAATCCACAGGCCAAAAGATTCGAGTCCCCGTTACCAGAACGGCCAGCGTCATCTACTATGCAACCATATACATCCGCCCCTGCGACTTCGCATACACCTGATTTCCGGTCCCAACCTTCAAAAGATAAAGATCCCCCCTCTATCGGCCTCAAATATAATACCGGGCAGCACCAGACCTCATCAACTACCTCCCGTGCTGCCCAACGTCCAGTAGCACCCCCGAAGCCCAAGAGTTTACGAACGGGAATTCAATCGGCCAACCAAACCGGCAATAGCGAATATAACTCCCCACAACACCCCCGATCGACCAGACAAGTCTCCAACTCTTCAGAAGACTGGGAACTAAATTTTAGCCGCCGCTACCCCAGTCTCTCTGGGCTCGAACTTGTAGAGACAGAGATAGACATACCAAAAGCTTCGTTGGGCCGTACCACAGCCACCACGGCAAGTAAGGGACTCTGACCAACTAACTCCCACGCAAGACTACGAATCGTCTACACCTTTGAATACACAATTTTATGAACAAGTAAACCAAAGCATCCGCTATACCCTCCCATTCTCGCATTTAGAATCGCGTGGCACATTATATCGCATCTTTATGCTTTTGGTCAGATTATTCCCTATGTCAACTACGCTATCTATATACCAGGGGAAACAGGCGCCATTCCATTTTTCTCTTGTTAAGGTTCTACTTTCCCTTTTGGCTGTGATGCTGAGACGATAAATGATATGATGTGGCTTCTTTAATGTTCAAGCAACATTGGCAGCTGTTTGATTAGCATTGTAGCAGTGGCTTTTATTATCCACGGGTTTATTTTATCTGACTCTTTCCCTGGGCGCAGTGGCGTTAGTATAATAATAATGCGCTGGCTGTGATTAGAGGTATATATATGCTTACTATATAGGAGGTTGATGATATAAAAAAGCATTAGCAATTTGGTTGCCCCGGTAGCCTCGCAGCTCAACGGACGAATATGTACACTGCGTAGCAAGTCCCAGTGTGTCTTTATTTAGTTTTCGTTTGTCCTCGTTATATATGTAGAGTGGATTTAATAGAAGCACTTGGAGAGTATCTGTTCACTGAAACATCGCATAGGTACAGTATCAACCAGCTCGCCAAAAGAGACAGCAGCCTTGTGGAAAGTATGTAGAGGAATCAAAATGCATATTAAAGATTAAACGAAAAAGAAAAAAACAAGGACACATGGAATGTAGTGTGGGCTAAACCATATAAAACACAGAGAAAACTCGCAACAACAGGATTAATAGACTGAAACACACAACATATTCTAGCAAGCACAGCCTTCCTTCGCACCAACCTGCCCTCTGTCTCGAAGATTGATCCTCGAATCGTCTCCAGGCCGTGACCCAGTACCAAGTCCGGCATTTCCAGACGATCCACCGGCCCCGGCACCGCCCCTAGAACTCTTAAGGCTTGCCTCGGGGATCGCATTTGCAATGGCTGTGAATACCTCCGCGACGTTGAAACCGGTCTTGGCACTGGTTTCGAAGAATAGTAAACCCTCGGCTTCAGAGTATGAGCTAGCCTCTTGTGTTGATACTTTTCTGGCATCGCCATTGGGAGAACCATCCCGTTCGTCATCTTGTTCGTCGTTTCCGCCGCTGCCCCCTTGAGTCTCTCCCTCTTCACCCTCATTGGCGGGGTCCCGGGCCTGCGCAGGGTCACCGGCTGAGGCCGATGTGCCGTCACCGCTTGTCAGATCAAGCTTGTTACCGACCAAAGCGATGACAATTCCGGGACTTGCTTGTCTCTGGAGTTCGGCAACCCAGTGTTTGGCTTTGATCAGGGAGGATGGTTTGGTCAGGTCGTATACGACGAGGGCGGCTTGGGCGTTTCGGTAGTACATGGGAGCAAGAGATGCGAAACGTTCTTGGCCGGCGGTATCCCATATCTCGAACTTGATTGTACGGGTGGGCAGGGAGCATTTCTGGGTCAGAAAGGCAGCTGTTTACGGGTAGGAGTCAGACAGCTCGATACGCAACAGGCAGCACCTTTTCGGGAAAAAAAACAGCGGACGGCTTACCTCCGATTGTAGGTTCCTTGTTCTCCTGGAAGTCATTGTTTACAAATCGCAGAACGAGGGATGACTATTTGGATGACGATAATCTTGTTAGCTGGCGTGATGGAGAGAGCGCCGCCGGACAAAAAAGGGTGAAGAGGCCGGACTTAACCCGGAAGGAAAGCAAACCTTTCCAACTGCTGCTTCACCAAGTAGAACCAGCTTAACGCTGCTACTGGGCTTGGGACCGGGTGTCGAGCTTGTATCTGCCATCTCTTTGGTTCGTATACGGCCTGCGACGACGGAGCTGTCTTTTTTTTCTTGACGTCAACTCGGTCAGGAACTAGATTTCCGCAAGCAAAGGGGAGGTGATCGGCTCCTGTGAGGTTTCCAGTCGGCTGTGCAGGGTATATGTATCCGCCACAGTCCCCAAACAGTTCTTTCTGGAGGGTTTGTCTCGGTTAATCGTGTCTCTGGTAGGGAGTGGAGGGATGGAGGTGAGGAAGCGGAAGAAGTTCGTCTTTTCCCGTCGACTTTTTGAAGTTCAACTTTTTGGTTGATGACGATGGACCGCCCGATATGGTTTAGCGCCGGAACAGGCTTGGCATAAAGAGTGTTAAAAAAGACATCAAAAGAGATGAAAACGACGAGTGGACGGAGATCAAGAGATGCGAAGACGTCGAGGGGGAGCAAGAGGCTTCAAAATATAAATCAGTGATGATCGATACGTATAGTTCTGTCTACCTATGCTATGCTGTCTAGTACGACACGACGCTCCAAGGAAAGAGGAAAAGAGGGAGTAAAAAAACGAAAAAACAACTGCAACAACGGTCTATCCGGTCCATCTATCCCAAACAACAGGAAAGCGTCAAAAAGAAAAAAGACTGGAGGAAAGAGGACATCAGGGGGGAACGCAGAGAGACT